GGCCCACGGCCGCTGTCGCCGTCTCGTGGACGAGGTGCCCCCTTCGATGGACCCCGCGTGGCCGGGCCGAGGCGCGCCTGCCCCTGCGCGACGCCGTAGGTCACTTTCTAGAAACTCGCGTGCAGGACGGTCACCGCTGGCGAAGGGGGGGGAGCTGCTGTGGGTGGTGCCTGCACACAGGGGTGCGGGGGGCGGGCGCGGCCTGCGTGCGGCTTTGGCGTCGGCCCCGCCGCGTCCTCCGTGCTCGCGGGGCTGGGGGTGCGGGGGGCGGGCGCCGGCTCCGCCGCTTGAATCCCTGGGAGTCGCCGAGAACTTCGCTCCGGACGCCTCAGTCCCGTCCGTCGTCTCTGCGCTGGCTTTCGCGTGTCTGGGGGCCTCCGCCACTACAGCCGCGTCCGGGGCGGCGAGGCCCGCGGCCACCTGCAGCAGAGGGACGGTGGGCAGGTGGCCCGAGCCCCGCCTGTGCCAGAGCCGCATTGAGCTCAGCGCGAGACCGTGCGAGGTGGCCCCAGCCGGCGGGGGCACCGAGGACAGTCAGCCCCGGCAGCGAATCTGGTGATCTCACGTGACGTATGGCTTAGATTCCATCCACACTCGCAGGTCCGTTGTGCCGAGTCGTGGCGATCATGGTGATCGGCCTTCAACAGGCTGTTTGTTTTGTCCCGTCTGCTTGAAAATCCCCCGCATCTGGTCACGAGGAATTTACATTTCTGTAAAGTTTGCGGGTGTCCACATAACTGGGCTGAGGGAGCTTCTGCTCACGGAGCTGTATTTAGTGTGGGAGCTCTGAAGCCCTGAAGCCCTCGCACCTACCTGGCTCCAGATGAGCCTCCACTAGCGGGTTTCCCTGTGCCCACCGGTCCCTGTCCACCCTTCCTCCGTCACTCGCTTCCAGACACTTCTATTCAGTTCTTAGTATTTGTTTTTAATGCGCCTGGGGGCAGTCTGCCCACTTCCAGCAGTTGGCAGCGCTCTCGCCATCTTCTTCAGAAAATCAGAGGTTTCTCCTCTTTCTTACACTCCTGTAACTTTTTTTAAAGACTCATTTATGCACACAGAATTGGGGTACAGGCCAGAGGTGGGGACGTGAGAGGATCCACCAGAGACAGTCGGGAGCAGAATAGGCAGGCCACTGTAATATACTGCTGAGGGGAGCAGCGGGTGGGACAGAAGAGGTCCGCCGCGCCCTGTGGGTCAGCTCCCTGGCCGGGGATAGGACTGGCGCTGAAGCGGCTGCGGTAACTCAGTGCGCCCGCCGTGGCACCACCAGGGCAGGGAGGCCCTCCTGCAACCTCCTACTGTGCGAACATGCCACACTTCTATTTTCCTGTCCCTCTATAAACAGAAAATTAGTCTCCCCCATTAATCGACTCGCAACACTGCCATGGTGCCAGTCAGTGAGAGCCAGAGTAGACTCCCAGGTGGGCGAGAGAGCCAGACACATTCCTAATGTTTCTGGACGTTTCTTGGTGCCCAGACTGCCCAGCTTCACCCCAGCACACACCGGCTGCCTGCCTTCCTGCCTAGCAGAGGGGTCTCCAGCTTCTGAGTGGTGTCGTCTGGTGGGCGAGAAATTGTGTGGCAGTGTTTGTGATGAAAACCCCTCTTCTGTAAGTGGCCTTACTCATGTTTTTATGTGCTTCAGGCTGTTTGCATTTAAAAGAGTAAGTTGGCTTAAGTATCTTTCTCCATATTTTTTCTGTTTTCCCTAATTTCTCAAAACTCTGAACTATTGGAGATTAATTTTTCTATGTGATGAGTTCCATAAATTTCCCCCAAAACTCAACATTTGACTTTTGAACTTACTACCAAGCAGATGTTTTTTAAATTTTTTAGGTGGTCAGTCAATCATTTCTTATTTTACTTCTAGATTCTACACCATAAAAGGTTTTTGTTTTGAAGTTTGGGGTGAATGGCTTTGCAGCGGTGAGGTGATAGGACAGCAGTGGCCGTTAAAGAGCCTGGGAAATTCTTTGTTACCTGAATGCAAGGCTGAGTAACACACAAGCCTTCCTCATCATGGTATCTCCCCGCCTGGGGAGACCAGTGCACCTCAAACATTGCGTTTTTCTTTTTGGCTTCCTAAGTGCCCAGAAGAGTGCTTTCAGGGGTTCTGGGGCCTCTGGTCTCTAGCTTTATGGCAGTTACCCTTCAGGCCTCTGCTCAGCTTCCGGGGGGCACGGAGAGGGCTGCTTCTATCTCACCGTCAATCCCCTCGTGGGTCAGCTTCACACAGACAACGCAAGTGACGTCTGGGTGAAGGGGGTCACCCAGGGCGCAGCAGACCTCTCCCGCCTCCCCGCCGCTCCCTCAGCAGTGGATTTCAGCGGGTCCACCTGTCCTACTCCCCCCTCTGTCTCTGGGGAGTCCTCCCACAGCCCCACCCGCTCTGGCCTACACCCCAGCTCTTGTTTGCTTAAATAAATACAACAGATCTTTAGAGAAGGGAGGAAGGAGGAAGGGGCCGAGATCAGAGCTACAAGGTGGGTCGGAGCGGTGGGGGGGCCAGTGCTGTGGGGGGAGCCGAGGTGGGGCCGGCTCCCTCCCTTTGACTCCTTAGTTCTTCCCTGCCCTAGGGCAGAGATTTGCCCCCCCACTTCTTTCTACAAGGCCTGGGGGTCCGCGAGTGGGGGGCTCCCTTCTGTCCCCTTCTGGCCTCCACTCGCTATCACGCTGTCCTGAGCCACAGCTGCGTTTGGCTGAGTCTGTCCACTGCCTTCTGTTCCTCCTTGCAAGGAATTTCCTTCTGGGGGAGACAGCTGCTCGCCCCGTTTACAGGCCTAAAATTCCCCAGGCGGCAGCCGGTGTAGACTCAGGGACTCTCAGGGGGTCGGCAAATATTTCCATCCGTCCCGGACTTGAGGGAGAGGAGAGTGTTCAACCCGGACCAGCGGGGCAGGGACGGGTGGGTGGATGGGTGGGGGTGACTGGGTTAGACCGGAGTCTGCAGCCACCCAGCACACCCCGCCCGGGCGGGTCTGGGGACCCGGAGCTGGAGGAGTTAGGGGTGGTGGGGAGGGGCCTGCCATGTGGGCACGTGCCCCGGACCGTGGGGAAAGACGCGGCAGGGCACGCTGGACGCCCGACGGCTCCTTGCAGACAGGGGCTGCGGGTACCTCGGCTGCTGCGGGTGCCTCCGGCCGCCCCCCGGCTGCGCGTAGCAGGCGGGGCTGGGGCACCCCTGTGGGCCCCCCGCCTGACTGCAGCGCCCGCCCACCCCGAGGGGACGCGCCAGGGTCGGAGGGCGTCCAGCCCGGCCCGGGCCTGCCGTCCCCGTTCACTGAGGCTGCTACGGGTTTGGTTAAAGGGGACGAAGGACCCACTGGTGTTTTCCAGACGGTTTTGATTCAAGGGTCACTCGGGGGCTGAGTATAAAGATCACGTCGCTGCCGTACAGTCTCGGGCGCACTTTGCGCAAACACCCCGGGTGCTTCGTAGTGGGGCGTCTGTTCTGTGCAGAAAACACATGCATCGCCGGTTTTGTCTGTCGTTTTTGTGAGTTGTTTCCCTCTGTGGTTGAGTCTCGACTTGGCTTCTTGGGCGCCCTGAGACCCCGGGTCCACTGTGAGAACCACAGAGTCCCCAGAACACCCGGACTCACCGGCTGGGGCCGCGACGGCAGCGAGTTCGATGTAGGTTGGACTGGTGACCCAGGGCACCCCGATCCTCGCCGAGTCTGAAAGTGTCTCCGCGCTGGAATAGTGGTTGACAGATTAGGGCTCATCAGAGTGGTGTGGGGACCTGGGCTGTAACCCAGTTGGTGATAAGACCCGCTTTATCTGCATCATTGGAAATTACACACTTACGGGTTGATCGATAAAGGGCTAGATGGGAATTGATTTTACCTCCCTCCGCGTCCCAGCGTTTAGAAGTCTGGCCTCAGTCCTCCCTGTCTGGGGCAGGGCAGCAGCTCCTCCTGCGTCTGGAAACCGAGAGCAGTGCGTCCTCGGCACCTTCTGATAAACCTTCAAATAGCTGAAGACAGTTGCTCGTTAAATCTGCTTCAACCTCCTTCCAGTTGAATCATTAAAATCTTTCATCTGTCTGCACGGGATGCATTTTCTGTCGGTGTCTATTTTAGCTTTTCAAATCCATCTACAAACATAAAATTGAGACTACACTAACAAACAATAATCACTTTATAACAATGCTCACAACGAATACGCAAGTCCATCATCCCGAGCGCTGTGTTCCTATGCCTCGACTGGTGGCGTGACCAGAGACACAGCAGGGTCCATCCCGGCCCTGAGTGCATCCGCAGCGCGGGTTCGATCCCCGGCCAGGGAGGACCCCAGGGCGCAGCAGACCTCGCCTGTCCCCCGCTGCCCCCTCAGCAGTGGATTTCAGTGGATCCGCCTGTTCTGCTCCCCACTCTGTCTCTGGGGAATCCTCACACCCCCCACACCTCTGGCCTTCACCTCAGTTCTCATATACATAAATTTTAAAAAACCCTTTTTTAAAAATGCATGTTGACGAGCTGA